GCAGACTGGATACCCATTGTAATGGCTCTATGTGCAGTTGAATGCTTGGAAGTAATCGTCTCGCCGATTAATTCAAAGGTGTTTGAACACGTCAATTCGTAACAACTCGGATAGGTAAAGAGAGCAGTACTCTGGATGTATCCGCTGAATTCGCAGACACCATCGCCAACAACTTTAAGGGCAGGCATTTAGAGAGTGCAATTCTTATCTGCAGTTCAGCCTACAACATGCTGCCAAGACTTCGGCCTCTCGATCTGTTAACCAGTGTCGTGTAGCGTCTCACAGTGTCAGCCTGTTGACTACGTATTACATAAAATTCTGTCAGCTCGTTCAGGTCAGCAAAAAGAAATTTATGGTTCTCTGACGACACGAGGGATGACATAAAGACTCTGTTGTCAGCTGCATTGTTTTGCTTATACACATTGAGATGTCACAGTTTCAGTGCTACCAACACGTGTATTAAGTACGCTGGCGATATTGTTCTGCTGAGTCCAGATCTGAACTGTGGCGTTTCTTCGTCTCCATTCAAGAGGTAGAAGATTAGATAAGTGAAAGAAATCTGTATTCAATAATTTCCTTAATGAATAGCATGTATGCAGAGCCTGTACGGAATTTACTTTACCAACTGTTCAGTTTTGCAACAACTTCATTAGAAAAACTCAGCGGTGAAATTCCTGGGGTTGATTGTAGGAGGGTTGAATGAAATCGTTGGCAAAGTGGGACGATCAGTTTTTGTATTATGCTAACTGAGGTCATTTTGCGTTGATTCAGAAGTACTGAAAGAATTTCTCGAAGCCTGCATTCTACCGCTCTTCATCTACCCTGCACCGGTATACTTCTGTTGTCTCGGGAGAAAACACTTTACTCTCACCCAAAGCTTTTTGACTCTGTTTCTGCAGCGCTGTCGAATTTGGTTCCATCCTAACCAAATGCTTGATAAAATAAATAGTTGCTTTGCTCATTTCTATTCTAACCTACCAGTGTTTTTCGAAGCAGTTAGGCACAAGATTCGTGTACATTCCTGGCAAGCACCCAACTGAGCTTTTCCGAAGGTTAGCTGTTCCGGTCGTTCTCTGATATCTGATCGATCTTAACAAGGAAGAGCTGTCACTTTAGACCAGACAATGATCAGTCTGAAGTTTCCTGCTGATTTTATTTTTTACTACTTGTTCATTTTTGTATCTAGGGTTTACGCAACTTATCGTATGCCTTAGGGTTCACTTAAGTAGATTTCATTGTGTACAGCAGCATTGGCTTCGAGGCTTAATGAGGTTAAATGGCAGAACAACGTAAGGGATGACTCCATTCTCTTCCCGGCACAGGTTACCGCAGTAGATTTGGAGATTAGGACAAAGAATTTGGTCGTTAGACAGCCCGGCTGAGCATCAGTCACTTGCTCCAGCCCATAGTCTTCTCGTGTGAAAGCCGAAACACTACTGGCGTCGACCAGGAGGCCAGCCTGCAACACGGAAGAGCAAGGCGGAGGAAGTTCTGCTTTCTGATAGAAGCCGCACCTGTTACGATGCAGTAGACGGTGCGTAATGGCAAAAATTTTGAAAAGCTGCGGATGCAGCGGACTTCACAGAACAAAAATGTTCTGCTTTTGCAAACGGCTTAAAGTAATGATCTGAACAAGCTACAGTAATACTCACTGACTGGTTGACTGATTTACATCTTAATAATTATATATTTCTCACACGTTAAGCATGTCTTTTTTGTAGGATGAGTTGGCGATAATATTGGTCACAGTGTCAGCTTGGCGAAATCTTTTGAACGAGTTGCTGTGGAAATTGTTTTCGCAGGAAGTGAAGTTAGCAGAAGCGCCGACGACACTGTTTCGAGGAAACACGTTGGCCAGCAAGATCATGGGCTACTGTTTCAAACTTTACGGCGCTTCATACCTGCGAAACGTGCTAAGGGATTTCGTCTCGCACGTCATCATCCAATCGAACCGCCAGTGTTACGAGGTGAACCCTTCAAGGTTCGTTAATTTTATTTGCAATAATCTGACTTTACCCTTCTGTACTTTTGATATGTTTGTCATTTTAGACTAAAA